ATTTCATATTTCAAAGGCATTTTTTTTTCGCAAATATTTCCCAGGATTGATTATCAAAGACAATTTGTTTGAAATGTCTGAAATATGTGGAAGACATTATCTCGGAATCCCCATTAGGGTACCATGATCAAATTGAACTACCGAAACCAAAAAAGCCGACCAAAACGAATGTGATTGGTTGTGAGAGATTGTGATCCTGATTTTGATTGGCTAAAAACACAGTTGGGCCTACCTCTTCCAGTTCAAGTCTGAAATTTGAAATCGACTCTACTATCCGACAGGGATTTTCTCCGACATTCCCCCATTCTTCTAAAATTGGATTCATTCTGATAGCTATATCAGCATGCAACTAAAAATATAATTCTGGATGTAGCAACGAAAGAGACACAGCTATAAAGCTTCTGTCTATGTTTAATACTGTCCCATGAATTAAAGATGTTCGCAAAAATTGACAGACATCCCCCAAATGCGACATTCGAAAAAGCTGTATTGGCAGATAAGTGATTGCAATGGTTTAGTGCAGCCTGGGTCCTAGCTCTATCGAGAGACCCACCGGTATCAACTTTAATCGTTCCCAGGTCAGTCGGCAGTAACATTAACGATACGAGCCAATGATTAACAACCGAGGAGTCTCGGGCGACGTGCCGCGGAGAGCGCGTCAGCATCACGGTGCAAACCCCCCATCACTGCGGTTAATAAAACACTAGGGTGGTTCCTCTGATCTAGTCTATATCTCCACGCGGTAACACTACATTATTATTCAACCCCTAATTGCTACTGTTTGTTATGAGTAATGCGGAGTCTGCGAGCCACGGGGATCCAGGGTTGCTCATAACGGAGGAGGAAGAAAGTAACTGTGCGTCTCAGCGCCAATATTTGACGAATCAAAATGAACTCAGACTCAAATTAGCGGGAAGTCAGCGAAGCGTGTACCGTGTATTTCTGACCGACAGACTGACAACTACATGCATATAGCTGAAGGCTACACACAATGCTAGTGTATAAATTATCCACCAGACAGTGGTATACAGTCTTGCTCTAAAATAATTCAAGTAAAAAGTAGATTAATATTTTTAGCAACAACATTGATCACCAGCTGACAGTTTTTGATCGGTATTTTGTATTTGTTACATGTACTTCAAATTGTTCGGCTTTAGTTTCTCGGTGCAACATATTCTGTTTTACTAAATATTAGTAGCGAGATGCAGCGCTTCGCGCGGCACCCACTAGCTGGGTGGAGTCATATACGTTGACTTCAATTTGCATGTTGACCCCAAGTGGGCGTGGTAAACATTGGTGAAGCAATTTTGCCACATTTTTCATCACCAACGTTATGTTTTAATAGGGAAAATGTTGTAATATTTGACTATTAAAAGACTGATAAAGAAACAGATTTGTAAACAAAAACCCCAAAAAACAAAATCATTTTTAAGAGCAAACCGTGACTTCAGATTACAGTTAAATCGGAGCATAGGACTAACATAATACTGGTTACCTCTCGATTAACCTTTGCATTTTGCCTATGAAAACACAACGTGACACGCAGACAGACAGACAGACATCGAACAGACAGACAGACAGCCAGTGAAGGCCAGGATGATTGCATATTAATAATCGAATATTTGCTTTGAAGTTGCAGCTTCTAGTGCGGGATATTCACCCAGCTCAGCTTTTTTCCACGGTTTGCGTGCCTCAGAGGGGAAATGTACATTATGACTATCTCATCAGATATCTCTTGAGATAATGATCGAATTCCTTTAACGATCGGGCTCTCCGTCTGCAATGGATTCCGCAAACAAATTTTGACTCGCGGGCATATATTATACAAAATAACACGACATCCAAATAATAATGGTGGTACTATGTACCCGATGTTTCTGTGTGGTTTTCAGGCAAACCGTTTTACCTGTGCTAAAGGCACATTTGATCATATGTATTTATCCAAAAATCTACCGAATTATCATCAAAAAAACTTGCTTGGATGAAAGATCGTACTGGGACTAAACACTCCGTGAAATTATTCTGTCTGGCTTGTTGGCATTTAGAAGAAATAAAGAAAATGTAGGTAACTTTCCAACGATAAGTCAAGTGACTGATATTTTTTGGAAATAAAGAGTGTCATCGACGAAATCGTGTTTCGTGATCAAACGGTTGTGCAACTGTTTACTGTAAAAGTGCAATATCCACTGAGCTGAAAGTTCAGTAGGTTTTGGACACGTTTCTTTGAATTTTGAACAGCGCGCGGAAAGCAAATGATCCTATAATGCCCTTCATTTCACATGAAAACTCCTTGTAACGAGTTCGTAAAACAATCTGTCTTGTACAAGAAAGCAATGGGACCTATAGAAATTGCCTCTGGCTTGATCGAACGGAACTCAATGTAAACTGACTGTGTTTCGTCAAACAAATTCAAATCAATGTCAATTTGATAAAGCAGTGCAGAGCAGTGCAGAGAATTCAGCAAGTATATAACCAATATCTTAACATATCTGAATACAGACCAATCGTTAAGAGTATGTTTATTCGATGGATATCGATTCGAGAGCGGAAGTTACATCTGATCAGTAAACATCAACAGACGTCTCTCTCGCTACTCTGGGTGATAAATAGTAATATAACCCAGGGAAAATCAATTTACTTTCTTTATTTAAATGTTTTAAAGTTATCCCAGACAAATTCTCAAAATTTCGCCCTTGCACACTTGCATATTAAAAACGATATAGAGTTAGAATTTAGTTCATAATAATAAAGTAATCTACTTTTGTACAATTTTGGTAAATAATAATGCGGTGCTTAATAGCGCTTTATACCAAAGGTCTCAAAGCGCTTCACAATTATTATCCCTGTTCATCAGGCTCCAGATCAGCGCATTCTGGTGTCTGCCTTCACAGGTACCCATTTATACTCATAGGTGGAGAAAGGTGCAATGTAGTAAAGTGTCTTGCCTAAGAACACAAGCACCATGTTCCCCGTCTTGGGTTCGAACCCACATACCACGGCGCGTGAGTCGAACACCGTAACAATTGGACCACAGCGCTCCAAAAGCGAAGAATCGTGTTGCCTTAACAAATAATTAAACAACACAGACAAAGAATCGAACGACTACAACTTACATTTCTGAAATTCTTGATTATTGCGATGCAAAATGAACAATTGCAGTTGTTGTTGAGATTTTGGTAGTGGTTGAGAAAAAGTGGTACTGATGTTCAGCGTGCCCCGTGCGAATTACACTGTGTTAGTAAACATACATTCACATGCTGACCTTTAAACCAACTTGTTTACGGCCATGTGGTGTATATTTGCCTTCAAAATCAATGCATCTGATGACATGACATCGATCAGATACGTCGTAGGCATATCTGATCAATTTACTTCAATACTGCCATAAACAAAATGATCTACGTAACGAAGGAATATGCGTATCTTTTAGGCACTAGGGAATCTCTATTTGTTTGGTTTGATAAATCATCAGATTATCAGTAATATTTAGTTGAGTCAAACGTCAACACGAAGGTGATTTTTTTCAGGAAAATTCAATTGAATATGATTTGTCATAGTTCAAGTGAATTATATATTTATATACACATTTGAAAGAATATTAAATGAAGGTGAGTCATTTCAAAAAGTTCAGGAGAGCATTTTACATGCACATATTCGAAGTGTGTTGGATCACAGATATCTATGCATTAGAGGGAATATACAACATTTGCAAACGTTAAAAAAATAAAACTGTCAAATTATTATGAAATATCTTACTAGACTGTTAATGAATAACAATGTAAAGTGTCCTGTAAATTCATGGCACCTTGTGTGCTGATATTTTAAAGAAAATTTGTGTTTTAATTTCTATTTTTGTATCAATTTCCAACGCTGGTCGGCAAACCAGCGTTGGAATTTTTTTTTTTCAAATACTGCCCCCAATTTACCATATTTAGTTTGTCCACATTATGTGCAATCGATTACACACCTATGAACAGGTACAAGCCAGCCAGACTGGTTCCCTGACCTCACAATTCCCAGACGTCTATAAATTGCTCTGTTTCATCTTAAGTGGGGTCAGGGAACCAGACTACAGGGACATAATTGTTTTTCTTTGTTTTTTTTTCAGCATCTACGAAGTTAACAAAATCTTCAAACAACTAGTGCAACAATATTTGCTATAATATACTAACCCCCAAAATCCATCCATTTCTGAACATTACAGCAAAGCAAATGTTGTAAATTGCCTTTAACGGTGAGACACATGTTTAGCTGAAGCTTTTTCGTGGAATTTTTTTTCTCAATATATCTCGAAATAAAAGAACAGTGTGTGCTTTTGGCGTACCAGCATAATTACATGTACGTGTCCGGCATTGAAATCGCAAGGCTAATAACTGGCTTTCTACCGTTTAAGACCCGTTGGCAATGACCATAAAAAGTTATTTTGTTTGTCATCACAATTCCCCCGTCGGTTGTGTGTTGTCATAGGCTACCGGTCTCACATCCTATGTTTGTTTTGATATGAATTAAAATCACTCCACGGATTTGAAGGTACGAATGATTTGCTGAGTGAGAAGTTTTGGAGAATCGAGTGATTCGAGGTGCGGTGGACGGGCAACACTGTCATTTACTTTGAATATAATTGAATAAGCATAAGGTCAAATTAGGTTTTGCCCTTCACCGACGTATAAACACTGTATACTCAGTGTGTTACCTGCCGAGTGAAAGTTGGAAAAAATCACTCGGGTGGGACTCGAACCCACGACCTCCTGCTTTCTAGTGCAGATGTCTTACCACTCGAGCACCGAGCTAACGGGCAAAACCTAATTTGATTTACATCACCCCGACGCAAAAAAAGTCCATCTTATAAAACATAAGGTCATTACTATAGCATGAATTATATAAAATGTTTCGCATATGACGCTGCAACATGAGATACATCCGTTCCATTCCCGGTTCCAAGTTGGGATTCCGATTAGGGGTTGTCAAATGATTGTGTCCCTTTTTGTGCACCTCCACAGTTTGTCTGCCGGTAGCTGGAGATTCCAGTCAGCTCATTGGTCCCCAGTTCGTCGCTGTTCCCCCTCCCCGTGTCGACTTTGCCCATAACGGAGGCGCACAGCTGGTGTGCTCGGCCTACGGGGAACCAGCGCCCACTATCCAATGGGTTCTAGCGGCCGACGACAGCCCGGTGGAGGAGGTCGCGGGCCTGCGCCTCGTGACCGAGAATGGCACCTTGATTTTTCCGCCCTTCGCGCCTGAGGATTACGTCAGCGCCGTGCACGAGGCGACCTACAGGTGCATCGCCAGGAATCGTGTAGGCGCCATAAGGAGCCCAAACATACAGGTGAACGCAGGTAAGTCACGTGCAGCACAGTAGTTTTAAAGGTTTTGACGAATTGTTGGCACCTTGGTCACTGACATGTTTAATAATGTATTATGTAAAGGAACTCTTTGTTGAAAAAAAATGGTCATTGCCACCACTAAATTTCACGTGACAAGCTTTAACTAAGGCTGTGCTCGGTACTAGCCCAAACTTCTGCGCAAGTAGGCCAGGCTGTATAGGTTAATTTGGTGATTAATCAAAATTATCTACACGGAGAAACACAAAATATTTTGAGGTTTGTTTGTTGTGTAAGCGGGAGAGGACAGCTTACTTTGGCTCCGGAAACCCATTTTCACAAATTATAATACTAAAGCCCATTGTTATGCAAGCTTTAGAAATTAAAAGAACATTAGTATAATAGGTTCAGGATGAACATAATGATCTGCATTGTGGCGGCGTTACTTTGATGACAATGATAGCGGCTTTCGCTGATAATTACAAGGTCTTCAAAACAAGCGACAGACAACCTTCATTACTGGCTCCATACATGCAATCAACACGAACACTTGTTTTTGCCTCACTCAGATAATATTAATCATCCTTGCAAGCTACAATTTAATAACGGCTCTTTGTTTGGGGGGCTGAGTGTACTAAACAAAGGGAAAGCAGCTGACTGGGGCAAAAGCGGTAGCATGCAAGCGGTTCCCTGGCCACGTGCCAGTACCTTTCCGCGGTTACTCTCTCTTTCTCTACTGTCATTTCTTTTAATTAAACTTTTTCCGTATCGAGGTACCTAGCTCCTGTCGTATCGAATGTTTTGCTACAGCTAGGTACCGTGTGGAATGTCAACGGGCAGCCCTCCGTTGAACATTGGGGCAATGTCGGTTCACGCCTGACGTACGACTTCGATTCTAGCTTTTGGCTACAGTCTACACAGACATGGAAACCTTTTCCCAACAAGCTTTTGACTTCACAAACAAGGAAACCTTTTCCCAACAAGCTTTTGACTTCACAAACATGGAAACCTTTTCTCAACAAGCTTTTGACTTCAAAAACATGGAAACCTTTTCCCAACAAGCTTTTGACTTGACAAACATGGAAACTTTTTCCCAACAAGCTTTTGGCTTCACAAACATGGAAACCTTTTCAAAACAAACTTTTGACTTAACAAACATGGAGACCTTTTCCCAACATGCTTTTGTTTCAACCAAAATGTTTTCAATGCCCCATTCTACTATTTCTGATTAATGCACTGTTGCCATCAAACTCTGTTTTGCAAGCACCACTGAACATGAGACAATCGTCGAGAAAACACTGCATGCGAAAACATCTTTCCCGGGCTGTTATGTGAACTACCCCAGGGGACAGATTGAAGATTGTACATGTCTGCTTGAATAACAAAAAATACACCAAATATATAGGTTTTTCTGTGGAGTTCTTATGGAAGGTTTCGGGACATCGCGGATGAGAACTAAGGAAACATGAGATTTAAGGGACGATTTGTATAGTGAAGTCGGCGATAACAGTATTTTTGCGATGTTGCACTATGCATTAAGGAATACCTATGTGCGTTTGTGTGTTTCTGAAAAAAATACTTACCCTTTCCGCAATGTATTAGTCAACATTGCTCAATTTACTTTCGTTTGTTAATAACCAATCTATATTTAAATTTATAAGAACTAAACTTTCGACTCAACAACAATGGGCCTTATGCACAAGTTGGCCATTTTTGTCATGTTCCCTGAATGTATTTCATAAATTGTGAACTATTGAATGAGTTGGTGCCAGACTATTTATTCACTATAGCCTCACTTCTTTCTTTTTTTATGTGGTTTAAAACATTAGAGTATGTTTAATCACAAATTTTCAATTCTTCATCAGAGCACGCTGGTATAAATTTGTAACGTCATTGCTTTCATTTCTCTACACAAATTCCAAAAATGAAGATTTTACCTCGCTCTCAATCCAATATGGCCGACTCGTGAATAAGGCCCATTTCAAACTTGAAAATAAATAAAAGACCTCAGCATTATCAATGATATTTGTTGTGTAATATTAATATGAGCAATACCAACTCTAGCCACTGCTGAACCTGTATTTTTTTTTCACGGGGCTGGACTGAGCTTAATTTACTCCCTGCTGAGAAAGCGGGATCGATATGCCGAGCAATGCGAAGCCAGTCTCCCGGAAGAAATTAGCGGAATAGCGAAAACATTTTCCACACTTAATTACTATTTTGGCGGTCATTAATTTACCATCGGGGAGCTGAATCCCCCCTCCCCCCAAAAAAACAAAATGCCGGCAATGATTGGCGAGTATTTCTCTCACTGCGAAGGCATGATTCACGTCATGGACCCGCCAAAACTGCTGAGAATAGTATGGGAATATTTCGCGCGATAGCAGACGGACGGGCCATTGGATGAAACAAAATACTACAGAAGTCTAGGCTATATTTTACTTAAATTACTTCATTGTACTACGGATCGAATTTTGCACTGTCACTAGACAGGTATATTTTCATGGTCCTGCTGCATTATATTTCCAGTTGAATTGCGGTCAGGACCATATACATGTTAAAAGCATTTGATAATACTCTTTCAAGGTAATGGAAGTAATTGCATGTACATCTGCGCGGATAGAAAAACAATTTAAAAACAAAAACAAAATGTAAAACAAAATTCGAACATTGTCAAGACAGTAAACGGGAAACAGTCTGAACATTTATGTGCATATGAAAAGGGACTTTCTAATTAAAAAAAAAAGTCCTGGCGATTGCTCGATTAACGCTCGAACTTTACTGTAGTTAACGTAAAACATGTGAAAAATATTAGGGCAAAATACGGTAGCACTGCGTGCGGCAAGTCAAAAAAAAAGTTTATTATGTGTTTCGGGCTTGAATGTTTTCCTGTTTGTCACGTCAAAATCGAAGTTTGTTTTAATTAATATTCTAATCAAACAGTTAAGACGGCCTATGATGTTGCGATCTTAACCACATCTTCTTCAGAGACAAAAGACAGTGGTACAAGAAACAAGTATGAGGGGGACACACAAGCATGCAGGGTTGGAACATACAGGGTGAGTCAAAAAAACGAAACCCAAATGTCGGGACCATTGTTTTAGTGAAGTTCTCATATGTAGCACTTTCAAAATCTAGGATATAAAAGCCCAATTCATAAGCTCTCTTTTAGCACAAGTATTATTCAAATCACTCGTGTACTTTTCACGTTACGGAGTTTTAAACACAACCGCCATTTTAAGGTTCTGTCCACGGATAACAAAACAGTTGTGTTCTTTCAGAGAAAACGAAAACAAATCACATAAGGATGTGCGTGAATTCTTCTGCTGAAAGAACACACACCTTTTTTGTGATCTGCGGACAGAACTTTAAAACGGTGGTTGTGTTTAAAATTCCGTAACTTCAAAAGTACATGAGCGATTTGAATGATTCTTGTACTAAAAGAAAGCTTATGAATTGGGCTTTCATATCCTAGATTTTGAAAGTGCTACATGCAGAATTTCACTAAAACAATGGGCCCGACATTTGGGTTTCGTTTTTTTTACTCGCCCTGTAGAGCAAGGAATTGCTCTATGGTTGGAAGGAGAAACACATAAGAGGGATTGACTAAATTAATATTATGTTAGAAAGAGAAGCAACGACTGGTTGCATTTGTGTTAAAAACGACTCATTTGTGAACTCAACATGAGATTGGTTTGAGTGACCGGGCTGATGTACAGCCACAGTCATCAGTAAATCGGGATTATTGAAGAGACGGGCAGCTCAAGGCTCATCAGGGGACCCATGTCTCACCAAGTGAAGCTAATTGAATAAACGTTTACTGCCTCGCTTCACTGAGCATTCTCAGTCTCCTCGGACAGGGGCACATCACAGACTGCTCGTCGACGGACTCCAATATATTTTGGAATATTGCGATATTGCGAGAATAAAATTTCATATTCTACCTTTATGTTGTTCCCATCATAAACGACAGTTTATTTATTTATTTTACAGCATTTGGCAGGAATAGCCACGATTGTTTAGGTTTTTTTTTTTTTTTTTTTTTTTTTAAACTTATTTCCAGTGGGGTCCCTTGGTGGAGAAAGGAAAGGACAGTTTCAGTGGTGGGAGGAATTCCCGAAAATTAAAAGCAGTTTTAGAGAAAACCCACAGAACCCATATTTGGCACCGGTCAGATTCTAGGTCACAGCGGTGGAAGGCGAGGAAGGAAGCGCCACGCCAATCAGATACCTGAATGTATTTAGTATAACAATGTTCGTAAAGTGACGTGTTAAGACCTTGTTGGAACAAAATAAAACTTTACTCCGTTTGGCCTCATTCAACCACCTTCTGTCCACTAGTGGAGATTATCAAGTTGGATTTATCGTAGATGAAGGTGTGTTATGGGAACGAACGCGGTGCTTGTGTTCTTGGGCAAGACACAGTACTGTAATTGCGTCTCTCCACCCAGGAGTATAAATGGGTGCCTGTGAAGGTAGAGACCAGATTGCACTGATCCCGAGCTGCTACAGCAAAAAAAATGGTCTCATGACCTGATGAACAGGGGTTGTGAAGCGCTTTCAGACCTTTGTAAAGCGCACTATAATCACCACATTATCATTATTATATATTACTATTAAAGGTATAAGCTGACTTATAATTAATCAGAAAAATGTAGATTCAGTCATGACTGTTTTTGGAGGGAGGCATTCTGTAGCATTGGATTGCTCGTGATCGCAGAGCAGAATGTAGCACTTTTCTTGTGTAAATACAATTAAGTAATGGTATTTAAAGAGGAGATGCATTGCCTACTTTGATAATTTTAAAACAAAATGTGAGAACAACTTTTTATGCCCTTCTTCCGCTGAGATCCACAGTGGTAAAAAGGTCTTCTGTATTTGAATATTATTATTCACAAGTGAGGCCATTAAGAAAAGAAGTCTATTAAAATGGCGGAGGGCAGTGTAGAAATAATTCCTGAGAAGTTGTATGGTCATAGATGTTTTATAGGATGCTGTGCTGGTGAGATATTGTTG